TGAGATGGTGAATCAAGAAAATGAGGAATATCAATCACCCACAGTTAAGTAACCCTTCTAGTTATAGCAACCTTAGACTGGCCAGTAGTGGTTAGTTATAATTAGATAGGTTACGAGTGATCCAGCTACATCAAGTGACACCAAGAACATCTGGTAAGTAGTGGGATTATGTACAAATGTTTTCCTTGACGGATGTATCCATGTGTGTCCTACCCCCCCCCCCTTCATTCAGTTAAACTAATATAATCTATACAGTCCACAATTAATTAGTAGCACCGTACTTGTGGGTGCTACCCAATCCATACTGGTCTCGGATAGATATGGATAAAGATTGTGAGGTCGAGGGGACCACTTGGTGCGACCAGGGGTGGTTAAGTTTTCTCACATGTCTACACGGGGTGACTACGGTAAACAATATGATTGTCTCCCAATGAGATTACTGGTATGTATATAATGTTGAGGTACATACAGGTAAGCACCCTAGAAAATTTTCCATATCTGCCCGTTGGTCCTTCGAAAACGGATGCAATCAGTGAAAAAATTAATTGAATTAATTACTTAATAATTAAGTGACTGATTGAAGGAAGTGGGTGTAGGGTGCACAAGTTTAATCGATCGTGTGATGGATGACAATTAGCCCAATTAATTGCTAGCACATGTGTGGCTAGGATTTATACAAGAGTAAAGTGCAAGAATTACTCTTATAAGGCGCCTACTTAAGTTGTATAATCAGTGATTAATAATTCTCTAACCATGACTGGATCTAATGGAGTTAATGTGGCTGACAAGTCCGTGAATTTTAGAGTAATGAAAGCATCATTACAGGCTATTAAAAGCCATGTGACGAAGGCATTTGATTTAGTGAATCAAAGAACCGTGAACCCTAATGAATTAAAGTTATATTTAGATGCTTTAGAGAGTAGATTTGATTGGTACAAATTGTGGTTTAAAGACTGTGAAAGAGATCTGCTAGAGAATTGTGCAGATGGAATGGAAATGAATGTTTTAATTAATCAACATTACGAATTGGAAGAAAAACTGTCTTGTAAAAGTAAGGCTTTGAATAAATTAAAGGGTGTAAGCCAGGCAGTTGATCAACCTATTAATGCAAAGGGTGTGTTTGCCAAAACCTCCGTAGTACGGTTCTGGAGGAAATCAGACTAGGTCGGCAGGAATTAATTGTTCAATTGCAGACCAGTCAGCCAAACAGTTCTAAGGATATAACACATAATGACTCTGAAGTATCTGTCAAGCCTCAAAAGGGAAAAATAATCCCAGTGGTAATAATCATAGTTAAGAGTTAAATAGGCACATATCAAGTCAGGAATCAGTAATAGTGGTTCCTCACATCAAGGTAAGAGGAATAATGTACCTCAGTAAGTGTAACCCAGTTAATAAGAGGTCAGGCAAGGAAAAGAGAGACTGCCTCTTCTGCCAGGGTAACTCATTTCACTAAAAATTGTAATGCCTGTAATTCATGGGATATTAAAGTGGAAAGAATGAAAGAACTTGACAGATTTATCAGATGTCTAGACAATCATAATGTAAAGGATTGTCATACCAAATTGAACAGTTGCTATCAATGCAACAAGGGAAAGCACCATACAGTTATGTGCAGGGTTGTATGTGATTCTTATAATAATGGTGACAATAATGATAATGTTAATAACCCTGACACTACAGTGACTGATGTAAAGTTGCAGCTAATGGCAATAATGATGGCCTAGCTGAGGTAGCCTTGACGGTGTTGGATGTAAAAATTCAGGATAAAGGGCATAAATCCAAAACCAACGGCGTCACTCTCCTCAACACTGGTACGGGCCATGTAATATATGGCAGACTACCGCCTAGTAATAATGACTAGAGGAAGTAGTGAATAACGGTCACGGTGTCTTACTCATGAAAGGTCAACCCAGTACAAGTATTCTCTATCGAGAATGATGTTGAACCAGTCTAATTTTGTGGAGCTGGACAGCATAGGGATTAATGTAAATGAGGAAAGTCCAAATGATTCCTTTACTCAGGAACAATACCTGAAGGATGTTAAATGTGAATCTGGACATTACTGGGTGCGACTTCCGTGGAAGCTTGACCGTCCAGAATTACCTACTAAATTATAGGATGGCGTATGGACAGTTTAAAGGGCCCAGCTCTGCGAACTGAGCAAGACACCAAAATTGTTGACTGCTTATAATGATATAATTAATAAGCAGTTAAATAATAAATTGTTCTTACTTCAGGCGACGATAAATGCACACCTTAAATGCACAGGCGGTCCACTGAGCGAAGTAATTGGGTAAATAATCTTATGTGGACAATTTCCGGGTGTGACGTCAACTGAAGAGGAACTAATGAGGATATGTGAAGGGGTTAATGAAATAATGAAGAAATGTGCTGGGACTGACTTGGATACTGAGAGACTTGTTATTGTTAAAGTCTCAAAATTCCAGTATGCCCAATAAATTAATCCAGGGAGCATAGGCTTATGCCCCTGAGAGAATGGAACACTAATTAGTCCATTTTGAGGGTTCAATAAATATGGATGGCCATGGAGTTGGTGCCTATATGCAGTAATGTGCTGGGGCTGACTTGGGATACTGAGAGACTTGTTATTGGTAAAGTCTCAAAATTCCAGTATGCCCAATAACTTAATCCAGGGAGCATAGGCTTATGCCCCTGAGAGAATGGAACACCAATTAGTCCATTTTGAGGGTTCAATAAATATGGATGGCCATGGAGTTGGTGCCTATATGCAGTAATGTGCTGGGGCTGACTTGGGATACTGAGAGACTTGTTATTGGTAAAGTCTCAAAATTCCAGTATGCCCAATAACTTAATCCAGGGAGCATAGGCTTATGCCCCTGAGAGAATGGAACACCAATTAGTCCATTTTGAGAGTTCAATAAATATGGGTGGCCAGTGAAGATGGGAAAATTGTACTCCACATTATGTAAGTCGTCTAGCAACGACCTCCGCCCGGCCGGCCAGTGTGGAAAATTTTTTGATTTTTCCGAAACTATAGTGCCTAATAGGTGTTTAATGTGTCTATATGGGTCAAAAATGTATTTGAAAATAAGAGTAGAACCAAGAGTTCCCTTTGCGCATGCGCGGATGTGCGGGGGGGAGGGCGCGTATTGTTTTGAATGGTGGTGAGGAAGCTGAGAAAACATGGAACCACGAAATTGACGTTCACGGTGGCCTAAGGATTAATATAGGCCTCATTTCATAATAAGAAGTGTCGTAATTGTTCCTGGTGGAGAGTGAGGGAACGGGATTTACGGGACCACAGTAATAGAGTGGTAAAAGTGTGATAAGAGAAGGAGCGGGTGACTGACGCGCCACAATGGACTGTGTCCTGGGGAAAATTACCCTTGGATTAATCATCACTCATCGGTCTCAGATCTTAATGGAGTGACCTCTAATTTGTATAATAGTTATGAGACGTTAAATCGCTTGTGAATTGTAATGTAATTAATGATAATAACGCTAAGTTAAGAGAATATGTGAAGTGAAATAAGTCGTTTGCTCCGAGTGAACACGCTAGACCTCGTTGTTAACGAGACGAGGAAAGGGAAACTCCTGAGTCACGACGTCTAAAGCAGGACAAACCAGCGGATACCCTCGTCCTGCTGGAATGAGAATCGTGTCGGTGTAGCAGACATCGAAAAATGAGATGGTGAATCAAGAAATGAGGAATATCAATCACCCACAGTTAAGTAACCCTTCTAGTTATAGCAACCTTAGACTGGCCAGTAGTGGTATGTTATAATTAGATAGGTTACGAGTGATCCAGCTACATCAAGTGACCACCAGAGAACATCTGGTAAGTAGTGGATTATGTACAAATGTTTTCCTTGACGGATGTATCCATGTGTGTCCTACCCCCCCCCCCTTCATTCAGTTAAACTAATATAATCTATACAGTCCACAATTAATTAGTAGCACCGTACTTGTGGGTGCTACCCAATCCATACTGGTCTCGGATAGATATGGATAAGATTGTGAGGTCGAGGGGACCACTTGGTGCGACCAGGGGTGGTTAAGTTTTCTCACATGTCTACACGGGGTGACTACGGTAAACAATATGATTGTCTCCCAATGAGATTACTGGTATGTATATAATGTTGAGGTACATACAGGTAAGCACCCTAGAAAATTTTCCATAGGTTGTCACCCACAACATGTGTATGTGGTGTATTATTAAAGCTTTTTAATTAAGTAATAAAAAATATTCACCTAATTTGGTAAAAAAAAGTATGCCACATTTACGTAAATAAAATATATTTAATTACTGAGGTTAAGTTCAATAGTAATTGTTTACAGCGCAGACGTCGACTTCCTCCTGATCCTACTACTGAGTCTAACTTAAACTTTATATATTTACAATTATTATATCTCTTAACATTACATATAGAAATACGTGATGTCAAGTACACTAATGTGATTTTACTTTACGTGGACAAAAAATTCGTTCACGTGGAAGGTGATATATCTATAATTTATGTGAGACATGGGTGTGTGAGAGAGTGACGAGGATTGAGACGTGGCGTTGTCTAAGAGTTTCTCGATTCTACTTTTGAAAATGTCTTTTGTTTAATATTTTCGAATTCTTTGCCTCTTTTGACTTTATTTAACAATAACTTATATATATAAGCCATGTTGTTTTATATCTACATGCTTTCTATGGGTAGGTAGAAAGGAATATATTGGTTAATGGAGAGTAAAAGGATAGTTGAAGACGGATTTGGAGGATTGCGAGGCATGTCTAGGCTGAGGTTCTCCCGATTCTAATTTTGAAGTCGACTTACACGTAATATATTCAAAATTATTACATCTTATGAGTTCACTTAATACTCAGGTGCATACAGATAATAAACTTTACATCTATGTATTTGTTATTAGTAAATAAGAGGACATATATGGGTCAACGATGGGTGAGATAATGGTCGAGGTGTGATGTAGAGGTTTAGGACACGGTGCTGGTCTGACAGCTGAGGAACATGGCCGCCCTGGCCCTCCGTGTCTACCAGAAGACCGATCCTAAAGCCGAGTTTTCGGTCTTGCTGAGAACAAGAAGTCCAAGACCAGCCTGTTGCTGCAGGCAGGGACCGTCTCCACCCTCTGTGAGTGTAAAGTAGAACCTACCCCCCTCCATTCCCGTTTAAAAAACGGGTAAATCTCTGTTTAACTCCGATTTTGACAGTCAGCTTCCCGGGGGAAAACCTTTTACTTTTTGAAGGATCTTTTTTTCTACTAGAATATTCGGGGCTAATAATACCTACCTGTTACTTAGTGTTAATTTTAATAATAAACCTGTTGCCCGTTTTTTGTTTTTAGGGGTTTTTTATCTAAACCTTTCCATCCTCAGCTTTGTTGCCCTGAAATAAATATATATTTTTGGTTTCTTAGGTGATCGTAGGGTTTTCCTGGGGGATTATAGTGATACAGGTGCGGGGTTATCCGGGTGTTTTTGAAAAAAATCACAGGTATCGTAGGTTATCCTGGGGGATTATAGATGACACAGGTGATGTAGGGGTTTCCGATGATTATAGAGATCACAGGGATCGTAGGTTATCCGGGGGAAACACGGTTTTGGTTTTCCTGGGGGTTATAGGTACTGGGGAGGACCTCCCTTCCCCCAAAACCACTGGGGAGGACCTTCCTCTTCCCCCGAACCACTGGGGAGGACCTTCCTCTTTCCCCCCGAACCACTGGGGAGGACCCCCTCCCCCTAAACCACTGGGAGGACCTTCCTTCCCCGAACCACTGGGGAGGACCTTCTCTTCCCCTACAACCACTGGGGGGACTTCCCTTTCCCCAGAACCAGGGGGGCCCCTTCCCCTTCCCCAAAACCCCAAAAAGGGAGGACCCTTTCCCCTTCCCCCCGAAAACCCGGGAGGAACTTCCTCTTCCCCCCGAACCCCTGGGGAGGACCCCTTTCCCCTTCCCCCCGAAACCCCTGGGGGACCTTCCTCTTCCCCAGAACCACTGGGGAGGACCTTCCTCTTCCCCCAGAACCACTGGGGAGGACCTTCCTCTTCCCCCAAAACCATGGGGAGGACCTTCCTTTTCCCCCAGAACCACTTGGGAGGACCTTCCTCTTCCCCAGAACCACTGGGGAGGACCTTCCTCTTCCCCCAAAACCCTCTGGGGAGGCCCTTCCTCTTCCCCCAAACCACGGGGGAGGGACATTTCCCTTTTCCCCCAGAACCACTGGGGAGGACTTCCTCTTCCCCCAAGAACCACTGGGGAGGACCTTCCTCTTCCCCCAGAACCACTGGGGAGGACCTTCCTCTCCCCCAGAACCACTGGGGGAGGACCTTACCTCTCCCCCAGAACCAATGGGGAGGACCTTCCTCTTCCCCAGAACCACGGGGGAGGACCTTCCTCTTCCCCCAGAACCACTGGGGAGGACCTTCCCTTCCCCCAGAACCACTGGGGAGGACCTTCCTCTTCCCCAGAACCACTGGGGAGGACCTTCCTCTTCCCCCCCAGAACCACTGGGGAGGACCTTCCTCTTCCCCCAGAACCACGGGGGGAGGACCTTCCTCTTCCCCCAGAACCATTTGGGGAGGACCTTCCTCTTCCCCCAGAACCATGGGGAGGACCTTCCTCTTCCCCCAGAACCACTGGGGAGGACCTTCCTTTTCCCCCCAAAACCCACTGGGAGGACCTTCCTCTTCCCCAGACCCTGGGGAGGACCTTCCTCTTCCCCCAGAACCACTGGGGAGGACCTTCCTCTTCCCAGAACCACGGGGAGGACCTTCCTCTTCCCCCAGAACCACTGGGGAGGACCTTCCTCTTCCCCCAGAACCACTGGGGAGGACCTTCCTCTTCCCCCAGACCACTGGGGAGGACCTTCCTCTTCCCCCAGAACCACTGGGGAGGCCCTTTCCTCTTCCCCCAAAACCCATGGGAGCCTTTCCCTCTTCCCCCAGAACCCTGGGGAGACCTTCCTCTTCCCCAGAACCACGGGGGAAGGACCTTCCTCTTCCCCCAGAACCACTGGGGGACCTTCCTCTTCCCCCAGAACCACTGGGGAGGACCTCTCTTCCCCGAACACTGGGGGGACCTTCCTCTTCCCCCAGAACCACTGGGAGGACCTTCCTCTTCCCCCAGAACCACTGGGGAGGACCTTCCTCTTCCCCTAGAACCACTGGGGAGGACTTCCTCTTCCCCCAGAACCACTGGGAGGACCTTCCTCTTCCCCCAGAACCACGGGGGAGGACCTTTCCTCTTCCCCCAGAACCACTGGGGGGGAAACCTTCCTCTTCCCCCAGAACCACTGGGGAGACCTTCCTCTTCCCCCAGAACCACGGGGGAGGACCTTCCTCTTCCCCCAGAACCACGGGGGGGACCTTCCTCTTCCCCCAGAACCACTGGGGAGGACCTTCCTCTTCCCCCAGAACCACGGGGGAAGGACTTCCCTTCCCCCAGAACCACGGGAGGACCTTCCTCTTCCCCCAAACCCACTGGGGAGGACCTTCCTCTTCCCAGAACCACTGGGAGGCCTTCCTCTTCCCCAAACCACTGGGGGGAAACCTTTCCTCTTCCCCCCAGAACCACTGGGGAGGACCTTCCTCTTCCCCCAAAACCACGGGGGAGGACCACCCTTTTTCCCTAAAAACCACTGGGGGGACCTTCCTTTTCCCCCCAAACCACGGGGGAGGACCTTCCTTTTCCCCCCAGAACCACTGGGGAGGCCCTTTCCTCTTCCCCAAAACCATTTGGGGGAGGACCTTCCTCTTCCCCCAAAACCCTGGGGGGGCCCTTTTTCCCTTCCCCCAGAACCACTGGGGGGGGCCCTTTCCTTTTCCCCCCAAAAACACTGGGGGGGAAACCTTCCCCTCCCCCCCAAAAACCCCACTGGGGTGGACCTTCCTTCCCCCAAAACCACGGGGGGAGGCCCTCCCTTTTCCCCCCAAAAACCACGGGGGAGGACCTTCCTTTCCCAAAAGAACCACTGGGGAGGCCCTTTCCTTTTCCCCCAAACCCACTGGGGGACCTTCCTTTTCCCCCCAGAATCACGGGGGGGGCCCTTTTCCTCTTCCCCAGAATCACTGGGGGGGGAACCTTCCTTTCCCCCCAAAAACCACTGGGGTTGGCCCTTCCTCTTCCACCAAAAACCCCCGGGGGAGGCCCCTTTTCCTTAAAAATCCCAGAACCCCCGGGGGGCCCCTTCCTTTTCCACCAGAACCCACGGGGGGGAAACCTTTTCCTCTTTAAACAAAAAAAACCACTGGGGGGGGAAAACCTGCCTTTTCCCCAAAAGAACAACTGGGGAGGACCCCCTTTTCCAAAAAAACCATTTGGGGGTGGACCTTCCTCTTCCCCCAGAAAACACTGGGGAGGCCCTTCCTCTTCCCCCAGAACCACTAGGGGGGGACCTTCCCCCCTTCCCCCCAAAAAACCACTGGGGGGGACCTTCCTTTTCCCCCCGAACCCTGGGGGGGAAACCTTCCTTTCCCCCAAAAACCACTGGGGAGGACCCTTCCTTTTCCCCCCCAAAACCCACTGGGGAGGGCCTTCCTCTTCCCCCAAAACCACGGGGGCCCTTCCTTTTCCCTCAGAACCCGGGGGAAGGACCTTACTCTTCCCAAACCCATGGTGGGGCCCCTTCTTTTCCCCCCTTTTAACCACTGGGGGGCCCTTTAAACTTTTCCCCCAGAACCACTGGTGGGGACCTTACTCTTCCCCCAAAAACCCAATGGGGAGGACCTTCCTCTTCCCCCAGAACCACGGGGGAGGCTGTCCTTTTCCCCCAAAAACCCCCTGGGGGGGGCCCCTTCCTTTTCCCCCCAAAACCACGGGGGAAAAAACCCCCCTTTTCCCCCCAAAAAACCACGGGGAAAGACCTCCCAACTTTCCCCCAGAACCAAAGGGGGAGGCCCCTTAAATTCCCCCAAAAACCACGGGGGGAAGACCTTCATTTTTCCCCAGAACCACTGGGGGGGGAACCTTCCTTTCCCCCAGAACCCTGGGGAGGCCCTTCCCTTTCTTCCCCCAGAACCACGGGGAAAACCCTTTCCCCTTTTCCCCCAAAACCCCCCACGGGGGAGGAATTTCCTCTTCCCCCGAACCGCGGGGGAGGCCCTTTTCCCTTCCCCCAAAACCCCACTGGGGAAGCCCCTTCACTTTCCCCGGGAAACCAAAGGGGGAAATCCCTTTCCCTTTTTCCCCCCAAAACCCAAAGGGAAAAGACCTTCCTTTTCCCCCCAGAACCACTGGGGAAGACCTTCCTCTTCCCCCAGAACCAGGGGGAAGACCTTCCTTTTCCCCCCAGAACCACTGGGGAGGCCCTTTCCTTTTCCCCCAAAACCCAATGGGGGGGCCCTTTCCCTTCCCCCGAACCATGAGGAAAAACCTTAAGTTTCCCCAAAACCCCACGGGGGAAGACCTTCCCCCTTCCCCCCCAGAACCACTGGGGGGGCCCTTTCCTTTGCTTTAATTTAAAATTTGCCAGGCTAAATAAAAAAGGGGACAAAAAGATAAAAAAACACCCCCCCCGGGCCCATAAAAACCCTGGGTAGCCACAGCCACTCAAGGGGGAGGGTTTTTTTTTAGTGCCAGAAAAAAAAAAACTGGCAGGAAAGGGCAAAAAACTTTACACCAAACCCCCTCTTTTCCTGGAGGGGAAACCCACAGTCGAGGGCCCTCCCCCCTCCAAACCAACAGATAACAGATACTAATGCCGGAAAAAAAAAACCCCCCCCAGTACCAACAATACCACCCGTCCGATAACCCTTCTTTTTTGCAAATATACAGGGTCTAAAGGGCCCGCAACAAAAAAACCAAAAATTCCCTTTTTCCGTGGACTGCTTGCAAGGGAAAGGCAATGTTCGCGGGGTTTCAACTGAGACCCACATAAAAAGGGTCACTTGGACAACGAAATATGGATCCCAGGTTTCAACCTATACGATGTTGGAAAAGAGTGAACAGGGGAAAAGGGGGGGGGGTTGGCCTGTACCAAATTTCAGGGGTCAATTGTTTTCACAGAACTGTTAAGCCTTCCCAAAAGATGTAGTGGGAAATTTTTAGCAGAAAAAGGGAGAAACCAAAAAAAATAGTCCCTTGGGGGTAGTCTACAAGCCCCCGGAAAGGGAACATCCCCGCAATTCCAGGA